AAAAAATATATATATATATATATAAGCTTATCATGGCTAAAGTAGGACATGCATTAACATACTTATTTTATGTGGCCGTCAGCTTTCCAAACATTCCATTAATTTCATATTAGCAACTTAAATATCACTATTAGTGTGGAATTTAGTATTACATAAAGAACATCCTGGGAACCTTTGTATGAGAAGTCGATGTCACATATAAGTACAGTTAGAATTTACATTTTCAACCACTGCTTACTGAGCTGTGGAAATAATGCTGCTTTCTGTTTTTAGTAGCAGTAAGCTGCTGCTGTTACCTGAGCATGCTGGCTTTGTGCAAGCTCCTCTTTCCTGCGTTTCATGAGCTCTTTTCTCAGCTCTTTGGGTGCCTTTTCCACTTCATTTATAACCTACAGTGTATAAGCATGCAGGAGGTGGGGAAATAATACTTTCTCCACAGCAAGCATTGTTGTGAGCAGACAAGCTACAAGCCAGATATAAAGCTGTTAAAAAGTTCCTTTCTACATGCATTAGCATAGGTGTTAGTTTGATGAAAAAGAATGAAAGGACAGAACATGCTTGATCTTAGTACAGAAAGGGACATTCCATCATATAAAGGTTAATTAGCTGCTTAATTATCCCTATATATTATTCTCTCTTAAAGGCCCAAATACAATCAGTGAAGATGCTGAATTAAAAATGAATCATACAACTGACTTTCTTGAAAGATCATAAAATTTTATACAAACCTATAACACTGTTTAAAGTACTGAAGATAAGGAAAACTAACACCATTTCTAATAGTGCAAACTTTGTAATTGGCTTGGTAAAACCAAGTAAATAATTCTAAATGAAATCCATGCAGTTGAACAAGAGAAAAAATGAAACACAAGATCAAGCCTTAGAATAAACAAAGGAGAAATAAGTGGACACTAAATTTTCTTTATACCACTTAATATACTGTGTGGTAAGAATGAATTCATCTTATGATTTTTGTGTTAGAATAGAATAACATTCTCCTTTGTAACAATTTAAGTCAACCTTAATTATCTAACTATAATAATCAATAAAATAAACACTCAAAATAACAGTTCTAGTAAGTTATGAATTTATTATATACCAGATAAAGTATAATTTAGAGCTCCCCCTAATCATTTCAAAGTCCTAGATAAGAATTTCATCTAACAACAGACCTATAATTCAACTATGGAAAACAACCATGTGTTCAAAAAATAGAAGCACCAAAAGCAACCAGATTCCAAATCACCACATGCTATTGATGCTCCATGAGAGAATGATTTTGATTTAACAGTGCATTTAAAATTTCCCATTAGCAATCGCTCATGAAACCAAATCACCATTAAAAGGAAGAGACACCCCAAATGCAAGAAGTTTAGCAACAAGGGAAAAAATATAATGTAATTATTTGAAGTATGTATATCACAATTTCAAACATGTTCACTGCTAAAATTCCTACCCCCAAACAGTAATAACTAGAAACTTTTATGTATTATTAAATCATATATTTACTTATGTTTTTATTTAATCTGGTATTAAAAAACGATTTCATAAGTCTCTTAAAAGTAACCCCATGGTTTCAGAAAATTAACATGTAGTCCCAGTAGAGTCATACAACAAAATGGAATTTTTACAACGGGGAGCTACATCAAACAACACACCAACTCATTCATTCTTCTCGAAAGAAATCATAAAGCAGACTATTTATTAATGTTTAATTCTATTCTTTTTTAGAAAGCTGACAAGTCCAGCAATAAGATGTTCAATTTTCTAAGTATTTAAGTGCTAAGTCAATGAATCTGGTTATCTGAGGTATGCAAAAAGGAGAAAATGCATTCTAGTTTGGATGAAATCAATTTTCCAATCCTAATAGAACTGATCATAATTATTGTGCCTGGGCAACAAGGAACATGGCAAAGTAAATTCTCCCAAACTAAAGGCATAGAATAAAACATAAAATTATCTCTGAGACTGCTTATATGTTAAGCTGTCTCAGTTTTATTTTGAGAAGAAAAAAAGACACACTAATACATAAATCTTTCAAACCATTATCAATCTGTCATAGTAAGCAATACCACAGATTCTATAACATTATGTAACTATTTCAGGGAAAATAAAAATATTCATTCTAAAAAAATTGATTTTCAGACATTTTCCACCTATGAGTCCTTAAAATACCTCACAGTAGCATGAACATAATTATAGACATTATTTGTAATTTCAAGTTACTAAGTTTAGTGTAGGCACAATGTTCCAAGAAAGACAATCAAACTAATAAAGAAAAAACTATTTTAAGTTTGAATTCAAAACTACAAATAAATAATCAACTGTACATACAATACAGTTACATCGTCTTGGTGAAAATATTTCTATATAAAGGCCTAAATACTACATTAGTAAAGGAGATGAGTTAAACTAGAAGGAAAATGAGTTAGGCTCAATTTAAAAACTTTGTTAAAAGCTTAGCTAAACATTTAGTGGTTGTTTATGAATATGAACCATTAAGCAGACCTCTTTTATTTCAGCTTTCTTGGCAGTTAAAGGAAAAAACACCTAGTCATACTATTAGCCAGCATGATTTTTGGGAAGACCAAACAAAAGAATGAAAGAGTGTTGTTTAACTATAAAGTATTATTCCTAATTTCTTAGATAGTCTTAAGTATACATTAAAAGAGTAGCTTTACTAATTAAAAGCAACAAGTACACTTACCTCCTTCTTTCGATTCTTTAACATATTCTGAAATTTGGATAATTCTTTCTCCTGTTCTCCTTTAATTCGTTTTGCTTCATCTCTCAAGCGATTTGTGTGTTCTTGTTCTAGACGTTCAATAGTCTGTTTCTGCTGTTTTTCTAGATTCTCAATTTCTTGGTCATATTGTCGTTTTTTGCTCTGTAAAACAGCTCAAAATCATTTGACTTTTCTATCACTCATTAATTCATTATAATAAAGACATTTACTAAAAGCACACAATTAGCATTTAAATGTAATGATGTGATTAATAACTTGTAATTCTAAACAAGTCAAAAGCACTAAAATGTTAGGAAATTTTTCAAAAAAATGAGTCTGTTGTTTACTAACTTAATATTTTTTATATGAGTAGTACAATGTTAAAAAAGAAAAGACATCTAGAACAGTAACCAGTTGCTATGAAATACTAACATCAAAAAATTTTTGGTATTAATCACAAATTTTTAATAAAGCAAATGGCTTATTTGAAGGCTATTTTCATATTTCTTCTTCTTAAGAGCCTTAAAATGAACATCTTATTACACTGAAATAAAATTCTGGAATTTCATATCTACTCTTTCAACAAAAGATTCTTGCATATATAATACTTGAGAATAATTTTGTCATTCTGGATAGAGGTAGCATTAAATATTTATAAAGGATATTTTTCTTTTTAAATTTATGAAAAGAAAAACATTTTGGAAAATGAGAAAAAGGATTACAGTTTTTATAAGGTTTGGGGAAACAGAATTTAAGCACCATAAGAATACTTAATGAAATCAAAAGTTCATTACTTTCTTAGAAATTCTGTTATGATACAACAAAAATAATCAATAATGCCACACTTACAAAGCAATCTTTACCATTTACAAGAACAGCAAAAAAACTATAACCAAACATGAATACTATAACATTTCAAATCTTTTTCTAATCTACATTAAGATAGATGTTCAACATAAGTTATTGAAATTTTGTGTCCATTTACTAATTCCTTTTCCAATTTTGGACAAAAGATAAAATATTAAAAGACTCAGTGGCAATTATTCTTGAATAGTCAGCACTATGAATTTTTCTAGCAGCTATGAAAAGGAATGCAGAAGCTTAACTGTATGAGCCAGAGAAGTAAATATATTTTTAAAAAACCCAAGAGGTTTTTTTTTCTTCAAGCTAATATTCAGGTAGCTTGAAGAAAACTGCTCTAGACTGGCTTAAAGCTTTTGATTTTGATTCAAAATCAGAAAGGTCACACTTAACACTGAAAAACTGTCCAGCAATAGACAACATCTAAAATCTTTGTAAGCCATTTACTGACTTCATGATTCCAGGCTTCTGTGGCAATTTTTATTCAAAGAAAAATGAATGCAACAATTACACTGTAAGTCAGTGAGCACAAGCCTGAGATGGAAGATCCTTTTAAACAAACAAACAAAAAAGGCCAAAAAAGCTATCCAGACACCAAAGAGAGAAAAGGCCAGAAATACACCACAAAGTCAGAAATCTAGTAGCCAGAGAACATGTTCTAAAACTCACTGATGGATTATAGTATAAAGGACAAAATTTCATGATAAACAATGGTACAAATATTTAAGACTTTACCAGCATTTCTTGCTCAAAGCGCCGGAAAATTTGTTCTCGTTGTTGTTGAAGTTTGCTGTTGAGCTGTTGTTGGGCTCTTTGCTCTTCTTTTTGAAGAAATCTTAATTCCCGAAGTTCCTGACGTCTGGTAGCATTTAATGGTGATGATAGAAGAAGACACCACAAATAACCGCTTTGAAATAATGCTTTTTAAAAACTCAAAGCAATGTTAAAATGAATCATCCCACAATTTTACTCGTTTCTTAATTTTCAGAGACAAGAAGTCACAAAACCAATTTTAATTATGTTATTCTCTACTCACCTAAGAAACCTCAATTCTTCAGTTTTGGAATCACTGTCTGTAACTATCTTTGATGTTGTTACACTAACTTCAACACCATCCACAACAAATTTGCGTGTTTTCTTCAATGTTTTCTTTTGTCTTCTTGTTTCCTGAGTGAAATTTTATTTTAGTTATGGAGAATACTACAGAGAGAAAGCATACATTTTCTTCTTTAAAAAAACTGAACAGCCATGAAGATTATTAAAACTACACATATATAACATATGAACATAAAACACCTGTGAAACCACTTATGTGATCTTAAACTTCATTTGAATTTCATGACTTTACAGTCATGAAACAAAACTGTTTTCAGTAAAATTATGTGTAATTTTATAACACATATTGTCAACCCAGAGTCTCTTATCATCCACCTATGTAAGAATTCATGGAATCTTTTTGTTACAATTGCTGAATACTTGGATCTTCCCTAGACTTCACCACAGCTCTTTTAGTACTATTAAGCATACTGATTTAAAAAATTAAGCTCTAAGAGCTCCAAGTTTTGGTTTTCTTTCTTTTCCCACAATGATTCTCACAACAGTTATGATTGATGGCTATAACCAAGGTGATTAAGACTGGCCAGCTATAAGAGCTAGTAGGTCACCAAGGCTATTTATACCCTAACTGTTTCTAAAAGGGTATCACTCATTCAGTTTCTCAATTCTTTCACATTATAATTAACCCCTGATATAATATCCTATATATGTGCAAGAAGAGAACTCATATCACACTAAACAACTACATTATACTTATGATAGTGAAAACCAAAAACTGCAAAGATTACATCCAGAATCTCTCTTGTTGGATCTTTCTGTTTTCACAGGCCTTAAGAATTTTATAGAGCTAATACTAATGATTCATGCTGTTTTACTTCAGGTTCACTTAAACTCCAAAACGACAAAGAAAAACCCAAACAAGGGCTAAAGTACACTTACCTGTAATGACATTGATCCACTGTCTTTAGTTTTGCTTAGGAAACTGGAGATGGATAAATTCAAGTCAATGCTGTTATTATCAGCAGTGGATCCAGTGCCTGAATCAGTATCATTTTCCTTTTGATTCTCAGATTCTGGCAACATGGCTTCAGTTTTTGATAAAGCACTTGTTTCCCTTTTATTTTCCACATCTTCAGAGTTGATATTAATACTGGGTATTGGAACAAGCTGAGTTTCACTGGGTTGTGAAGCAGCAATAACTTGGGGTTCAATTTTACTTGGCACTTCACATGGAACTTCTTTTTGCTCTGTATCTATCTGAGTAGTAGCTTTATGAGCATCCAGAGTTTCACTTCCCAGAGTCTTCTGGTCAGAATGCATCACAGCACTTCTGACCACTATTTCTTCAGTGCTACCTGACTCAGTAATTTCTGCAACTTCATTTGTTCTTGGTTCCTCACTGCTCTCCACTATGTTCTCTGAACTGCTGATTAACTGTTCCTCACTTTTACCTTCTACAGATTTTTGATCTATCTCCTTAATTTCAACTATTTCTTTAGTGGGTACTTCCTCAATACCTCTGGCCTTGGGGCCCTCCATGGACCTGCTGACTAATTCCTCCCTTACTTCAACCATTCCTTTCCCATCACTACTGTAAGCATCCTCAGCACTGTTTTCAGCTGTCCCCTGAGCAACATTTACTGCCTCATCTGTTCCTATTACAACACTTGCATCCCTGATCACATCTTTTTGAATTTCATCATCTCCCAATTTCTCTTGGGTAGCTTCCTTTGTAAGTTCTATTTCATTACTGATTGCGTGAATATCTGCTTCTTTTTCTCCAGTCTCATGAGAAAATAAATCCACTGCCTCAACAGTGATATCTTTAATTTCTTCAGATGTTATAACCTTATTTTCAAACATCCTTTGCTTTCCCTGATCCCTTTCTTCCTCAGGTTTCAAAGTCTGTTCAATATTTGTTTCTAAAGTTGTCATTATATTATTTTCTTTTTCTTCATTAACTGAATTAATGTGCACTGTTGCTTGGTCTTCTGTAACAGGTAGACTTTCAATCTTGGGTCTCTTCTTCTCTCTTCCATTTTCCTTAATAACTGTTTCTTCTTGATGGAATGTAGACATAGTTTCTAGGTAATTATCATTAACATGTTCATGAATACTCTCCATAGCTTTTTCTGTTTCATCAACGGTGGGTTTTTCATTAAGACCTTTGCAACTAAATTTATCTTCAGAAGTATTATGTTCTGATTTTTCTGAGACAGATTCCAAAATACAAGTGTTCTGTGAAAGTTTATCTTCTTCAGAGCTAGCAATACTAAGGTCAGAGGAGGCACGCTTATTTGCAGGTATTGGCTGAAAAAAGATTTTACACATTTTTATTGTTAAAACATAGTTTCACGATGATTAACTAATGCAATGTCTATGAATATAATGATGTAGTAACTTGATCACTAAAATTATTAAAATAATTTAAAGAACAAATTTAGTTTTAAAATAGTTTAAAAAACAAACTTGCTATTAGTCAGTCTATAATTAGATTTTGTACTACAACCCTTCAATTAATCCTGAATATAGGTTTAATCATACCTCAAAACCTAAACAATACCTAAAAGAAATTTCCATTCTAAATACTGACCAGAGCATTTTCTGTTTCCTCATCATCATCTTCCTCTTTACCATCCTCAACTTCTTCTGTTACTTCAGCCTTTGCTTCTGCAATCAATTCTCGGATTGGTTTGTTGGAATCAACAGTAACAAAAGGATGCTGTTGATCATTAAAAAGAACATACTCAATGACAGCCAAAATGTTTGCTTGCAAAGTAAGTTCAAATACATAAAAGGCAAATTATTATGTGGTTAAAACAAATCCATGGGTAGGAAAAAATACAATTTCAGATAATGTTACATCTGGAAAAAGGAAGAGAAAAAAAGGATTGAGTAGGAGTAGGGGTGACCTGAAACTGTTTGTGTACATTTTTTAAAAGGAATATAAAGGAAATATATCAAAAACAATAACATATTACATCTGGGCAGTATGTATAGGTATTTGCCTATATTTGAAAAGTTCATAATCTAAAATTTAAATTAAAAATTAATGTACAGAGGGGCCCTCTTTGGTGGTGCAACAGGTTAAAGCACAGCACTGTGAGGCTATCCTCAGCCAATGCAGCACAAGTTCAATCCCCGGCTAGGTATCTGATCCACAACAGACCTCTCCTGCCTTGCCTGCTGCTTCCTTAGCAATGTACTTCCTCAATCTGCCTGGTCTGCTCCCCGCTCTGTCTCTAGTGAATCCTTTCACCACCCCCCGCACCTGTGGCCTGTACCCTTGTTCTGTATGCATTAAAAAATAAATATATATTTTTTAATTAATGCATGGACCCTCCCTGGTGACTCAATGCGTTAAAGCACAGCACTATGAAGCTATCCACAGCTACTGAAGCATGAGTTCAATCCCCAGTCAGGGAAGTGACCAACCCAGTACTCCCCTCAGCAGTGTATTTCAGTGGATCTGCCCGTTCTGCTCTCCACTCTGTCTTCGGTGAATCCTCTTACCCCCCCAACACCTCTGGCCTATACCCTAGTTCTTGCACGTGTTTCTAACATTCTCAAGAGTATGAAGACATTTTATTCATCTCTGCATATACAGCTTTTTAGTGTCATGACTAAAGCCTTCAAATCTGCAAGTAGCAAGATAATAAGAGAAAATACATACGAGGGATATACTTGTTATAAAGAACATGGCAATTTTTCCTGTTTTATCCCCCAGATAAACAGATCAACCTAAAACACTAAAATGAAACATAACAGTAACTGCCTCAAGATTTGTCATTCTATTTGCCCACTTATGTTAATTATTTACAAATATTGTTTCAAATATTATAAACAGATTCTGTTGATAATTATCCAATCACTTTAACACCATATTTTGAAAGTCAGCAATATTTATTGACCATTTACCTCATGGAAGACATTAAAAAAATTAGCTTATACGGCCCTCCCTGGTGGCTCAGCGGGTTAAAGCACAGCACTGAGAATCAAAAGCCACTTCCGCATGAGTTCAATTCCCGCCAGCCCCGGAGGTGACCACATGGAGTGGCAGACCTCTCCTGACCCTCCCGCTGCTCCCCTCAGCAGTGTACTTTGACCATCTGCCTATTCTGTTGCCCACTCTGTCTCTGGTGAAGCCTCTCACCGCCCCTGAGCCTCTGGCCTGTACCCCAGTTCTGTATGCACAAATAAATAAAATCTTTAAAAAAAAAAAAAAAATTAGCTTATGGTCCCTGCCATAAACAAGGTGCTTGTTTTCTAGTAGCTAGAGTTAGAAAATAGAAATAACGAAGAAAATGAAAAGGACACAAACTGAATCCAAAAAGGCAAAGGAAGAAAGATTTATAAAACTCCTGTACTACTGGCAGCACACAGATTTGCAGAGCAAATGTTTACCACTACAGTGTATTTTGAATCTCCACAGGGGAAGTCAGTTGAAGAAAGAGAGCATATTGAACAAATCTGAGATTTCATTTTCTTGAAGAGCTCTTAAAATAAAACAATTTTATGGTTTGCTGTTGTCATTAGTCTTAACTTACCTGCAATAGTTGAGATGTATTCCACCTAGAATCCACATTCTTTTCCAAGCATTTCTTTAGAAAATCCTTAAAATTTGAAGACCTTCAAAATAAAAATTTAACATTTTATCTTACTTTCTTATTATTAAAATCAAACACAGTGCAGATAAATTATGCTTATATTTCATTATGTAATAACATTTATTCATCATAAAACCTGTATATAAGAATATTAGGATTTCAAAAGTTATTAAAAAATACAAGTTAGAAACAGATGTAAATAGGTTCATAGTTTTAGACAGAGATACAGTGAAATATTCACAAGTGTGACAAAGTACAAAAATTCCATTATATTAAATTCCACAAATATAAATCACATACAAGCTTGACTTTCTCATGGTACAGAAAAAACTGTTTTCATGCAGAATTCAAATCACGGATACTTTTAAATACACTAGGAAAATTAGTCATAAGAGCTGTATGATATTAAGTCTTTAAAATATACCAAAATTCAGTTTTCTAATTCACGTAGTCTTCATACCACCTACCTAAATTTAAATAGCCTTGGAAAACTGGGAGAATAAAACATCAAGTTTTGATTCTTAAAAAGCTTTGTTTAGAATATTTTACCATTTTGATGGCTGCGCTAATGTAGGTGGTTCAGATTTTGCTATTTTTAGCAACACTCGCATTGGATTTAACTCATGATGAGGTGGTTCAATCTCAGCCATTTCTATTAAAGTGATACCCAGGGACCAAACATCAGCTTTGTAGTCGTAAGGTCTGTCCTTAGAGGTTTCACACATGACCACTTCAGGAGCCATCCTATGAAAACAGGACACTGAAAGTTAGGATGTTTAACTTTAAAAGTGACTATAAATCTCATTAAAGATACACAGTATAATTGATTATATAGGCAAATTAATGAGCGATTACTACTGACATACCTAACACTGTAAATCTGTAAAACTGAATACATACCAATATGGTGTGCCAATAAAAGAATCTCTTCTTTGTATTGTTCTTGTGTTTTTAGCTGATACACCAAAATCCGCTTAAAATAAATAATCACACATAAATATTAATGACAACTTTCAAGGAAGACGCACTGTATTTCAATATAGAGGATAATCATTACTAGTACTTAATATGGCCATTCTTATTTAAGAATAAATAGAAAGAGAAGTAACATCTCTACCATCCTAATTTTGACCACCCTCTTTCTACCACAAAAGAAACTGCCAAAGATACTATCATTAATACATTTAATACCACCATTTTACACATCTTTAAATCATAAATTCTCCCAAATTGAAAAAAAAATTAGTATCTTCAAAATAGACCAATATGCCCACTTCAAAAAAAATGCAAACTTGTGCTCGTGTTATAATTAAATTAACAAACAAATATTTTCATAAAGTATAAAAAATATTTATGACAGCATATGTCTTGCTAGCATCCTCACAAAGTGTATTACAAAGAAAAAAACTGGAAGTCATGTTTTCTGACTTAAATGATACAGAACAGCAAAATTATAGCTTTTCAACTCAAAGCTCAATCATTAGTACCTTAACATAAAATCACTAATGCTGCATAATCTTGTACCACTCATACTATACACATGTATATAACATGTATATAACATGTATACACACACACACATATAACTTTCAAAGGTTAACGCTAAACATGTCTACAGAGTTAAAAGTGATAAGCTATACAATTATATGACTTTCTACAGTATACCTAATTATACCTGCTGCAGGTGTCATGACAAACTAAAGTAAAATCACTATGATCAACGGTATCAACATGGCCTTTGAAAATATTTGTCCTTTCAATATCCTCCCAGAATGCACAAATTTGGATTTTATCATCAGATTATATTTAAATCTTATCTTGGGTATATTTAAAGAGGATTATACATTCAATCATATTTATATATGTGAAATCAATTAGTTTCCCATCTAAAATTTATTTATTCTTATAAACTTACCATTTATTCCCTTAGCATAAAACACAAAACTAAAAATCCTATTTTTTTTTTAAGATTTATTTATTTATGCACATAGAATTGGGTATAGGCCAGAGGTGCAGGGGCAGTGAGAGGATTCACCAGAGACAGTGGGGAGCAGAACAAGGAGACTGACAGAGTACACTGCTGAGGGGAGCAGCAGGCGAGACAGAATAGGTCTGCTACGCCATATGGATCAGGGTGGGATGGGGCAGGAGGGTTTGAACTCACACTGAAGTAGCTGCAGCTAGTTTTCAGTGCTGCACTTCAACCAGCTGTACAACCAGGGAGGGCCTAAAAATCGTATTTCTCATATTGATTTCAGGCATCCTTTTCAAACCTAAAGTTACTCTGCTTAGTCAAAATATTTATCGTGCGTGTGTGTGTGTGTGTGCGCGCGCACAAAATGGAATACTATTCAGCGATCAAAAAGATAAACCAATGCCATTTGCAGCAACATGGATGGAGTTAGAGGGATTATGCTCAGTGAAATAAGCCAGAAGGGAAAAGAATGTATCAGGTGGTTTCACTTATAGGTTGAATATAAAGGAACTAAATAAGGGATCAGGACAAAAAAAATAACAAAAAACTAGCAGGCAACCCTAAATCAGAGACATTTTTCAAGGGAGGGTGAGGAAGAGGGAACAAAATAGGGAGAGAAGAGCACAAGGGACTATGGTGATGGAGCTCAGGTGAATTAGTTATGGGAATTTTATAGGGATACACATAAAATGAGAAAGCATACAAGCATACATTGCACAAAAATGAACAATAATGTAAAATACATGTGTGTATGCATATATATAGATATATAAATTTTAAAATTATTTAAAAATAATAAATTTCAGCAAACTATTAAAAAATGCCTAGCTGTAAAAACAGAATATAAACACTGAAAAAAAAACCCATTAGTCCTGAGTTTGGGAATGAAAATAAAGCTAAGTTAACAGTTTTACAGACTCTGTCATATTCTAAATGTATTCTATAACAAGTAATAAATGTACATACAAAAATTCAAGGGAAAAAGAATTAACCAGATTTTTTAAAGCTCAACTTCTTGAAAATAAAGATTTATCCTTTCTTACTTTCTTTTAAAATGTCTTTATATTAGGTGCCTTTATTACAAAATTTGGGAATTATGAATACTTATTTAGCCAAGGAAGTATTTTAAAAACTAACATGGAGTTATTCTCCATGTTGTACATAAATGTTGAGTCATAACAAAACAATTATTAAATCATATACATACAGGAAGAAATCACAGAGCACAAAAGTATATTGTTTAAGTGAATAAACTTACCTAATTTAATATCTCCATCTAAGGTAAAAAGAATGTTGCCAGCCTTTAGATCTCTGTGGATGATTTTATTATCATGTAAATAGTTCAATGCTTCTAAGGTCTGTTTACAAACTACTTGTATTTGAGATTCAGTTAATGGTCTCTCAAGTTCTATAAGAAAAAAGAAAACAAATCTGCATTTTTTTTTACTGTGAAACAATTCAGCAAACTATACACCTTTACCATCACTACCAACTAAATTTATTTCAGAAGAACTAAATATCTACAAAGATTACTTTCCTCATATTATAACCAATGTATAATGTTATTATCCCAAATATTAAAATAATTAAGTTGATTTCTTATTGGACTTCACTTAAAAGCAAGATATACATATGTATAAATGTTGAAAATACTTTGTTTTGTTATTAAGATGAAAACATAATAAACAAGAAGGTATTTACCAAGCATCACAGCATCCACTGCTCCACCTGCACAAAATTCAATGAGGATCTGTGGGCAAATAAAAAGCCATGTGTCTAACACTACTTTGAGTTTGATAATTTTTTAATCAATTCACCAATAAAAGATAAAGGAGTAAACATCAACTAATATAGATTATAGAACCACTATTATGTTGACCATAAGGATTTTCTATGTCAAAAGAGTTGCAAGCATAGACAGTTAGGAAAGCACAAAGAAAACACACTGTAGAAGTATACATATTTTTGTTAACTGCCATTTTAAGCATCTCTGCTTCTCCAAAATTAAACAAATTTCTGTTTAAGAGAGCACTATATATACTTTTCATCACCACTGACTTTTCTTATATTCATTTTTAAGGTAGCTGTAATGATGCAAATCATAAATAAATTTTTAACTTTAATACAGGAATAAATATGGACTTTTGAAATACAAAAAATATAGACTTCTTTTAGTTTAAAATTAAATATGGGCCTCCCTGGTGGCCTTGGGGTTCAGTCTCAGCACTACCACCACAAAGGGCCACTATAGAGGTCTGAGCTCAATCCCTGGCCAGGGAGCTGACCCACATGGGGTAGTAGACCTCTCCTATCTTGCTTACTGCTCCCCTTATCAGTGTCATATTTCAGCAGATCTGTCTGTTCTGCTCCCCATTCTGTCTCTTGTGAAGCCTCTCACCTTCCCTCTCCTGAGAGAGGAGGGAAAAATTATATATTTATAAATGTAAATATAAAAGAACATAAATATATTGAAATTTAAATACATAAAAACACATACACACAAACCAGATCCTAGCTCATTCATTAGCAGATCTACTCATAAGTAATATAAGTAACTAAAGAGATTATGTAACATATAAAATAACTTTCACAATTTATATCTCTTTATGACAATTAACTCATTTTGGCTACTCCTATAAACAAACAGAAAATACTTGCCCAAAGATTGTTCTCATAGTAGAAAGCATCTAGCAGCTTGACTATATTGGGGTGATCACAAGATGCTAATATGTCTATCTCTACCATGTAATCTTCAAGTTCTTCTTCAGATTTGGTATCAATCACCTTTGCAGCAGCTAAAACATTGGTTTCTTTATTCTGGGCCTAAAAATGAAAATATCACAGAAATCACAATTACAATGCATTCTCTTTTTCTAATTAGTTTAATAAACTTTTTTTAGAAATTTTAGGATCACAGCTGAAAATACAGAGAATTCCCGTATGCTTTCCCCTCCCTACTATCAGTATCCCACATCAGAGGGGTGTACTTGATACAATTAATGCAGGTTTTTCTGTGGACATAAGTTTTTAGCATGATCACTAAATCATGTGTTAAAGAGCATGTTTAGTTGTCTAAGAAACTAACTACACTGTCTTCCAAGTAACATTTGTTCTCACCAGTAGTTGGTGGATTTTTATCACTCTAGGTATGCAGAGGTATCTCCTTGTTTTAATTTGCAATGACATGTATTGTAAAGCATCTTTTAATATGTTTATTGCTCATCTACCTATCTTTTTAGTTGAGGTGTCTGTCCAGATCTTCTGCCCATTTTTTAATAAGCTGTTGACTTTTAGGAGCTCTTTACATATATTTGATTAAACAGCCCTAGTCGCATAGTCTTTTGTATATCTTTTCTCCCAGTAAATGACTTGTCCTCTCATTTTCTGGACAAACTTATTTTTAAAAGACAATCTAAACAAATTCTGACTAATGCATGCTATACGCAGTGCCAAGCGCATAAGGCACAGGCTCTACTCAGGCAGGGTGAAAATTTGGATTTGCCACTTATTAATCTGTGTTGCTTCGAACAGCTTAAAACCTCTCTCTGTTAAACCTTTCTCCTTAATAAAAGCTATCTATACTTCACAAATGGGTTAATATTAATAAAACACTTACCAAGGTGGGGAGGTAGGAGTGAGTGGGTTAAAGCTACATATAAACATTTAATTCAAGGTCTCCTATATAGGGTAAGTATTCAAAAAATGTTGTCATTATTACTATTACTGATCCTGGCAGCAAATCCATGATATATTATTATCACTGCTTCAAAGGAGGATAACCTTGGTGAGATTAAAAAGATTTCTTAAGGTCACCTAACTAGAAAGAGACAGGATCAAGATTCATATCCAGATCTGTTTTCAAAGTCCTTTCTTTATTTTAATCATTCCCCTTTCTAGTTTCCCTACACTCCTATCAGTTTGTTCATTTTTCCTGTTTTTAATACTTTGATTTTTCCATTTCCTTTCTTTGAGTAAATTCTTACTTCCATTTACTATAAATGAAAATTTTCCAAGTATATGGTAGAAGTCAAGATCACTTTTCAAAGTTAGGAAGCAGATCTTAAAGAATAATTTAGTTTTTTATCATTTTAACCTGATATTGCTTGACACAACTTCAGCAAAACTATAGTTACTATTTTAAAAGAAAAAAAAATCAAACTTTTAAGTTAGTAGTGTCTCAAAAAAATAAGTGTCCCAGTCCTAAGTTAAAGAATTCATCAATAGAACATTTTACAAAATAAAAATGCATACACATAACAATTGATGAAGTGCTATTCAAATAAGTAAAATTTAATCTGCCTAAATGTTTGTTAAAAGGAACCTGTTTACATCTTTCAGCATACAAGGAAAAAATTATGTGGCCATTAAAATTAGTTAGTTGATGAATTAGTCAATGAATCAAATGAACTGATCAAACAGAAGCCACAAAACACTGCTGAATGGGGGGAAAAGGCAAGTTACTACATGAAAGGTATGTAATTTTCTACAATTTCATTTTCACTGATGGATAGACATAAGAAATGTCTGGGGAAGTATAATGAGAATGGTGGAGCTGCAGATCAACGTTTTTACTTTTTCTGTATTTTTCATAGTTTTTTAATGGACATGAATGATTCTTAAAGAAGTTATAAAATACTCAAAATCAGCATGTGGGATGTTGGTTAGGGACCTAACTAACCTTGGAGATGATGAAAAGAATAAACAAAACAAGGCATCAACCTGTATCTTGGAACTTTCCCTAAGTGGTTTATTACTGTATTTTACGTCTTTAGGAAAAATTTGAAAAGAAATATTAATTAACACAATGCTTAGGATTCAGAGACCATGATGTGAGTTAAAAAAAAAAATTTATACTGGTGAACACTACTACTCTAAATGAATATTCTATTCTACCCCATTTTATGAAATATAGGGTGACTTTTAAAGTGAGCCTTTATATCCTACTAAGGAAGAAAAACTATAAATTAACTATAATACTTTATCTTTTAGAATTTTTATGTTATAACTAAGTTCTTTTGGATATATTTAGACAAAATAGTTACTGTATATTGATCATTCCTGTGCGTACCAAAAAAAAAAATTAAGTACTCCTTATTTAAATTTGACTCTGAGTCATATTTTTACTCACAATTATCTAATGACTGAGTTATCTAATGACTGTCTCTCCACACAATATCACTCTCTAGCCATTAAAAACCTTGGTGATTCAGCATTTCTCAAGTGTTTCTTCTATCACTGTCTCCAAAATTTTCTTTGATGCTACTGACTCATATTTTGTGATTATAATAATATTTTCTTGATTTTACCACTGGTACTAAAAAAAGATTTTTTGATAGCAACTAGGACTCACATTCTTTCTTCAAAAGGTCCATAAATAGTTTAGGATTGAAAGGTCATCGGCTGTAACTGTGACAAGCACAGGCAATGGCAACATGACCACCACCTGAGCACCACTATGGCATCCCTCCATAAAACAGGGCCCCGTCACAGGTATGTTCAAAAGTAAAACCTTTCACAGCAGGTGAGAGATGGCATCTAATTTGTCTTAAGAAAGATTTGACAGTTGGGCCAGTAATTAGAACTTATCCCTAAATTACAGGAAATAAGCCAGTAAGAGATAAGTCCTTTTCTCACTTTTGAATGTATCACTGACGGGAATAAAGACCAGAGAAACTGTCTTTAAAAAGGAACACTATAAAATATGAGGTACAAGCTCAAGGATACTGTGAAGAAAAGAGACATCCTACTCCCACATGCTTCTACTGATGTGTAAGAGATTTTAAAGATATGTCTTAAAGTATTAAAAAGAAAAAGTTCTAGGGCCTGCCTCGGGGACTCAGCTCTATCAAGCTATCATGCCAGCCACTGAGGCATGATGATTTCAATCCCTGACCAGGGAGGTGACCCACATGGCACAGCAGACCTCTCCTGTCTCAACAGCTGCTCCCTCAGCAGTGTATTTCAATTGACCAACCAACCTATTCTGCTCCCTTCTCTGCCTAATGAATCTTCTCATCCCTCCTTGCCCCCACACACCTCTAGCCTATACCCCAATTCATGTATGCATAAATAAATAATAAATCTCTTTTTAAAGTTCTATTATCTAAAACATAAAAAAATCTTCATAAAAAGACAATGAAATAATTAAACAAATATAAATAAAAACAGCAGTGGGATTAAGAAATATTCAAATGTGGATTTAAACATATATTTATATTGATAAAAAGTTTTCAAAGATGACCCATAATAACTTAAAAATCACTGTTTTTATTTTCATGAATCATGAAAAGAGCTTGGTCACTTTACATACCCTAATAGGAGGCTGCACGGAAACAGTGATATTTCCTAAGTGATATGAGTACTTTAAAAATTCATTTATTTAAAAAAATTTTTCATTTATTCAGATGACATGATCTAAAGGGCAATAGAGCTTCCTTCCACCAAAATGAGAGTCTAACTACACAGTGTATAAGGATATTCAGCACAAAGAAAATAAGTAAAATTACTCAATATCACTTAACAAAATATACACTTGATTTTCATTATTGTTTTAGTTATGTTCCATCAGGTTGCTCCAAACACTGAATTAGTAAATACAACCACTGCTCCTAGGAGATACATATGCACACTCATGTACACACACATACACACCCCTAAGAATCTTAAATCCTAAAAACTACTATACCTGGCAGATTCTATGTTAGTTTAAGAAAGAGAAAATAGGAAGTATTGGATGACTTCTGCGAGACTATCCATCAAACAGGTGCCATTTGTGGATTTTACACTGCCCTCCACAGTCTCCATCCATTGGTTATCTCTGCAGGAAAGCTTAAACAAGAAGGTATAACACTACTTTATTCCATCTCGGCTAGGAAAGTATGAGTCTGGGGACTCACATATTTTGCAGTTTTACACAAATATGCAAATGACCATGAAAGCACTGTGTCCATGGACTTGGGGCTATAAATAAATTTTAGCAAGTAGAAAAATTCCCAAATACAGAATTCACAACTAAAGAGGATCTACTGCTCATGCTCCCTCTAAAGCCTGCAAAATATTACAGAAAACCTTTTGTTAATAAGCATCTTCATGTCATTCCCCGGGTTCTGCAAAAGGGAAAGGAATGTGCATCATATTCTCTTTATATTTTCAAAAATTTTATTTATATTACTCTGGGTTTTTATTCAAAACCCAAGTGTGGTCACTCAAATACCAACCACACAATGTAAAGGTGAAGTTACTGAAATGTTTTGTCAATTCGTGGATCACAGTTTTTCACTTATTTCAAAGAACTTATTAACACTGAGCACCATAAATATACCAAGACATCCTTCACAACTGTATAAGAGATAAGCTGAGGAAATGTGCATAGTTGAAAAAAATGGAAAGTGAAAAAAACACCAAAAAAATTTTTTTTCAAAAAAATTTTTATTTGAAAGACAAGATGTACTACTTCTGAAAATTAAGAAAAATAAAGGGTTTCCTTTATTTGTGTGGGTTTGTGTGGAAGATCATTTCCACACAAACATTTTCAGCCTAAGTTATAAAATTAAAGGGCCAAATGCATAGTTGCTAAAATAAGGAACTCATTATATACTAAGACTTGTACAAAGGACAGAAAAAAAAAACCTGCCAGCATGTTACAGTTATTTTTGCAGTCCAAGTCAGTTAACTCTTTTAAAACATAAATGTGCATGTGCTAGGAATTTGAACTTTGTGTGATAATAAGTACAAAGCACAGTGTAGTATTTAATAAATGCCAACTAAAATTAGTGGCATAGAGTAGAAAGTTACCTAGCCAAATGGAGAGGGGGGGCAGAAAA